AGATATATACTTTTTGGCCCATACTACAATATGAAATCATTTTTAAAATTACACAAAGATATTACTGGATAAAGAAATATTTATTTGTAGTGTTAATATTATGTACCATTCAATCATATTTGGATGTACATTCAAAATAATATATTAATTTCTACAGTATCATTTTACAAAATGAGAAGAGCCAACAAATTTTATACTTTCAAAAGTTTGTACATAGTACATTATAATATCTTGTTTTGTCTTTTGTCAATAGTTTGTGCTGTAATTATTGCTTCTGCATCTGAAAATTTAAGTCTAAAAATAGATTTTCTTTATTTTTCAGATTCGCTTTCCAATATAACATGACAAATTAGACATCCATAAAAGTCAGGTTTCATTTCAAGATGTTTATACAATTATTTAACAGTTCTAAGACAGGAGAAAGTTAACTATAATTAAGCATATTTTATGTTATGCCCATTCTTGCTCTACTGCAGGCAGATAGCATTTACTTAATATAAAGATTTGAGAAACACATTGCACTGATGATACATTTATTATGTACTGTAATCAAATATTCATTTCTCTATTACTGAATGATTTCTTTTTATCTAAGAATAGACCAAAGAATTCAAAGGTGTGAATCCAATTATTTCCATCTACTGTAATTGGAAGAGCATCAAATAAAGACAGTACTGAACTTTAATGACTGACGCGGTAGGAAACCTGCGGATTGCAGGTGGTCTCCATGTTGTTTTTTCCCCAAGCTCTGGAGCCCTCTAAGATTACTATGCTAAATCAAGCAGTAAACCACTGAATGACAGCCATGAAAGATTCCAGGGGAGGCATGAGAGGTAATAATTAAAAGAGATACATTTGTCTTCAATAGTTTGATGTATCATTTTTACTTGTTTGAAAAAAAAAAACTACTTCAGAAAGCTCCTTGAAGGGCTGAAAATCCCAGCTTGGTCCTTCCAGTAACAGCCTCTCCTGTGGCCTTTGCCAAAACCAGGATAGCATATTAAAGATAGACAATAGTCATTAAAGTTGGCTGTAACTGGATAAAAACATTACTTAAACACATTTAAATATATTTGTTTCTGAAACTTTGCTCAAATATGCCCTTTCCAGTTCCTAGGGGAACTGTTGAGCAGTTGGTTCATCAAAAGTCAGGACACTTGCCTAGAAAGATAGAAGCCCAGTCATTTCCTGCTTTGTTGCCTGTGGTCTGCAGATCATCTGCCACAGCAAAATGTTAGGAAATTTGTGGTCTAGAGCAGTGGTCCCCAACCTTTTTTGTACCAGGGACCGGTTTCAAGCAGAAAATTTTTGCAAGGACCGGGGGGGGGGGGGGGGAAAGGGGGGGGGGGGCTTTTCCTGTCGCCTCAGCTATTCCGAAACGCCCGTTTCACCCCCACCCCGCCCGCCCGCTTCAATCCACAGTGTCCCGTTCTGCCTGCCTGCCTGCCTGCCTTAGTTTCTGGTTGTTTGGGAGCAGCTTCGGCTGAGAATAATAACTATTCGCTCTTTTACTCAGCCGAAGCTGTTCCGATTCAACCATTAACGAAGGCAGGCAGGCAGGCAGAACGGAGCACTGGGTTGAATCCCGCCCGCGCGCGCGGGCGGGCGAGCGGGCGGACGGGGTGGGGGTGGGGGAGAAACGGGCGCTTCGGCGACAGGAAAAGCCCCCCCCCCTGCTTCTTTGAAGCAGTTTCTTCCTGTGCTGGTGGAGGAGCGAGAGAGAGACTGAGAGAGCTGACCCAGAGAGAAGGACAGGCTTCGGTTGCTTCCTCCCTCCCCTTCTTTCATTTGTGTCCTTGATCCCTGATCCCAGCAGCATTCACCGAAGGTGAAGAAAGCCGCCATTTTTTTTAAAAAAAAAAATCTTTGCGGCCCGGTAGAGAGTGCTCCACGGCCCGGTACCGGTCCGCGGCCCGGTGGTTGGGGACCCCTGGTCTAGAGTACAGCCACTAAATGCCGAAGCCCAATACTGTCTAACAAATACTTGTCATAAAAGTCTACTCCTAGTGAAACTGTTTCTTAAGAGCAAACACTGCAAGTTTCTTCTTTCCTATAATTAATTTTAAAAAGAGATTAAACCAGTACAAAGCTTAAGTTTTAACCCTATGATCTAGGGGATTTTGGAACTAGAGGATTTCCCCTCTAAGGAGAAGAATCTGGCCTTGATGTGAGAACTCTTCAAGACTCAGTCAGATTCTGATGTTAATGAACCCTGACTTCAGAAAGAACTAGAAAGGGCAGGCTCAGGGAAGGTGTTGATTCCTTAAAGCTTGTAACAACAACAGTTGACTTACAGCAGTTCACTTAGTGAGTGTTCGAAGTTACAACAGCACTGAAAAAAGTGACTTATTTTTACACTTACGACCATGGTCACATGATTTACATTCAGAAGCTCAACAACTGACTCACATTTATGATGGCTGCAGTGTCCCAGGAGTCGTATGATCCCCTTTTGTGACCTGACAAGCAAAGTCAAGGGAGAAACCAGATTCACTTCACAACCGTTGCAGAGATTCACTTATCAAATGGGGTAACAAAAGTTGTAAAATGAGACAAAACTCACTTAACAAATTTCTCACTTAGCAACATAAAATTCAGGCTCAATTGTGGTTGTAAGCCGAGGACTACCTATACTGGCTTGGAATGGACATACATTCTTTTCCATTCTTCCGAGCACGACAGTAATCTTTTTGAAAATAACTCTTTCCTCTCTTCCAACAGATCTGTTGCCAGCGCGATTTTAGAAATGCCCAAGCCTCCAATGTTAGAGAATAAGATTGACTAAGATTGCTGTGGCCAATGATTTCTAGTTACTCTTTTGCAGATATATTCTCATTCATCTCAGTGTTTCAGATGAAATCCTTAGAAGACCAATGTGGGTCCTAAATGATGTTGAACAAATAAAGATAAGATTTTGCATAAAGGAAAATAACTTTTTCTGATACGAGGTATGATATTTCCCTTTTTAAGGTCAGTTTGCTACTAGCTAACTTATTTAAAATATGTCTGTGCATTTCTTAAAATAGTAAAATATTAAGTTAAGAACGTTTTTCTGGTACAGAGTACCCAGGACATTAACAGTTGTTAAGGCACCGGGCTAGAAATCAGGAGCCTATGAATTCAAGTCCTGCCTTAGACATAAAAGTAATAGATAAGAGGCTGATTAAGTTCCAAATAGGAGTCCTTTCATAGAATAATTGAAATAAATAACAAGACCAAACATGTTTTTGTTGGCTGAAGAACTAACAGATTCACAAATTGAACAGATTCAACAACCAATTAAACGTGGAAACTAAATCTAAAAGTTATCAAGTTGTGGAATCCATCAGGAAAAAAATGTAATTTGATGGGGACCCAAAATCTACTTTTGGTTCTCCATTATCAATCTTCTTCAGTTCTGTAGTATGCAAGGAAAGGGGGTATGAATCATTTTTGTAGTTTTATTTTCCATGTATTTTATAAACAACTGGGAGTCAAAAGTCCTTTAGTGACCTGTGTCAAATCATATGGAGAGAAGATACTGAAACAATCTGCTCTTTTACTTTTCTGGTGATTTAGAGATACCTATAGAAAACTGAGAAAATCTTGTGTGATTAATTCATGTAAGTTATTCATACATTGTGCCTGTAACATCACAATATGATTTCAGTTTCCCACTGTTTTTCATAACAAGTTTAAACTGTCCATTATATGGTAATTAGGATTCAATTTATCAAGCAGAATTAACATGATTACTAGCACATATTCCAAAAACATTCATGACAGTGTTGTGCCTCTTATATTTGAATGTCTTATTTGATTATTTCTCAGTGAATCTGTGGTGATTATTCAGCTCCAGAATCTCCAACTAATTTCAGCAATTATTGCCAATATTTTTATTAAGACCTAAAGAAGGGGGAAAGGAGCAGAGATATGTTATCCAACTACACAAAACATATGGTAAAGAGAAAACATTTGGCCCCATTTTACAAAACAAACAAGATCTATTGATCTAAAGAAAATAATTTTAATAAAACAAGTCACCCTGAATAAGAAGGGCAAGGTTAGAAATCTTAATGTTAAAAAAAATAATTAGTGGGGATAATCACAATTGCTCAGTTTACAAAAATATAACTAATACCTAAGTTATCTTATGCACCATTATTTAAAACGTTCACTGGTATCTTTATTCCTCAAGCCCTCAGAAACAGTTTAAAATAAATAATTGCTTTCACTTCTGACAATTTGCAATGTTTAAAAAACATTATCTATCTATCTATCTATCTATCTATCTATCTATCTATCTATCTATCTA